AAACATGTAGAAACCTAACGATGCCATTTGGCTAATTCAGTAGGGCAGGGGCATATGCCTGCACACAGTGCAATCAAGTTGGGCAACTTTGACTCACAGTTTGAAGTTTGAACAAAAGTAATGTAAGCATTACCTGCGTTTAGTTCACATTTTGACCATGTTTGCAGGGCAGCTGAGGCGATAGTCTTACGGCTGTGCATGGGTCTACAGACACATCGATGCATCAGGCACATAGCTTTGCTTTTTCTGTTCCCTACACCTAATTAATTCCTAGGCAAGTCTGAGTATCTCAGGCCATTAGCCAGAATAGCAACATGCAAATCCTGAAGAATAGAGTACATTCAAGGTCTCTAGAGGAGCTTCATAATAAGTATGTGTAAGTACCAGCTGATAAGGCAGCACAAAATGTGATTATAGTTTGTAAGCAGTATTACTTGGAAGTTGTATTAAAAGAAATCGACACAACTATCACATATGAGCATGTTATGGAGGGATATCAAAGCGTTGTTGATAGACATATAAAATTTTTGAATAACCACCGCATTGATGCACGACCTGAATATAGATGCTTGCCTTTGTTTTATTGGCTTCCAAAGCTTCATAAATGGCCTTATGGTACTAGGTTCATAGCTGCATCACACAGATGCACTACAAAACCTTTATCTAAACTACTTACTAGCTGCCTAAAACTAATTACCCACCACTATAAACAATATTGTAACAGCATTTTTTGTAGGACTGGTGTAAATTGTTTTTGGATTATTGATAACTCCCAGCAGGTGCTTTCAACTTGAGTAAAATTAATTATTATTCTACGGCCAGGCATTTTGATAGTTACGACTTCTCTACATTGTACACAAGCATTCCACATGTAGCACTCAAAGAGGCTTTAGAGACTCTAGTTCAGGAAGCATACATGGTGAGAGACACTGAGTTCATTATAGCAGATAGTATTGGAAATGCATACTGGTCTAATGTACCATCGAACTCCTCATCGAAACAGAATATTACTGAAGAGATGCTAGTCGCATATGTGGAATACTTGATAGATAACATTTATGTTAGTATAGGTAATAGAATATATAGACAGTGTATATATAGGGATTCCAATGGGAACAGATTGTGCGCCGTTGGTGGCAAATTTGTTTCTGTTTTATTATGAATATAGATATGAAGAATATTATAAAAACGAATTTGATGCTCGCAAAAAGGTTCAGTAACACAATGACGTATATTGATGATTTGCTGACATTAAATAACACATCGTTTGATTCAGCCATTGATGACATAATACCCAGAGGAGCTTAAACTCAAAAAAAACATCTGAATCACCAAAAACACTGTCATACTTAGATATACATGTAACTATAACAAATATTCCACGGCAGTATAATATTATGATAAATGCGATGATTTTAACTTCAAAATTGTAAATTTTCCATATCTAAGTTCCAATATTCCATCTGGACCGGCATATGGAGTCTATATTTCCCAATTAGTACGTATAGGTAGAATATGTAGTGATTACTCGGATTTTACGTTGAGACATTTCAAACTAACAGAGCGACTGATTAATCAAGGATACAGATATTCTGATTTGTGCAGGTTCTTATATAAGTTTGCTAAAAAGCATGCACAAATTATGAATAAATATTGCTGCAGCATACACAAACATGTGGAGGATGGTATATTATGTCTGCCAGTAATGGATAGGTTCCTCAGTCGCCATGTCTCGCATAGATAGAATGTATATTTTGAGTGACATATTTATTTTGCAATCTATTTTTAACATTAATTATATATTTCTTACACGTGTATATGCTGTGCGTTATTTAGAGTAATCGCACGTTTTTTCTATCTACGTTGCATCATCGTACTGCGTAAGTTTCAGAGTTTTTATATTTTTCTATGAGTCTAGTAATCCTTTGAGGCTTTCTATTTTTCTACTGGCTGTTGCTTTTATCCTGTAGTTGCCGTTCTTTTGTATATAATCTCTATCTATTTATTCTCTAACTATGTGCAAGGGAGGTTGGGACACTGGGTGTGTAGGGAGAGTTGGGTCCATAAAAGACTCTTTAACCTACCGCCCCAGTTCTCAAGGCTGGGCACCCAGGGTCCTGCCTCTCTATTTTTGTTTATATGTTGTCTGGCAATTCTATTTTTATGTAAATATTTATTTTCTTACACGTGTGTATGTTGTGCGTTATTTAGAGTAATTGCACATTTTTTTATAAGTTCCATCGTCGTACTGTGTAAGTTTCAGAGTTTTCATATTTTTCTATGAGTCTATTAATTTGGGTGGGGTGGTTTAAGGGTTCTTTCTTTTCCTCTCATATTATTCTTTTAGCTAGTATGCTATAAACATGTTTTTTCATGCCTCACGTTCAACAGCGGGAATAGCTATTATGCTGGGACTTCAAATGATGTGATATCTTTTCTGGTTCTGTGTCCCACACGGGGTATTGTGGGATTTGATTTTACTTTGCATCATCTTACTGATTGGTCACTTAGGAAATGTAAAGTTACGGGCAATTGGCCCTTATTATGCATCCGTGTGCTACATACCTGTACCATGCAAACTATGAACTCATGATGTGATCTTAATATAAAAAGATCGTCTCCTGTAAAGAACTGCTAATTTACTCTATCCATGCAATTCTACCCTCAAACTGGGCTCTCTGCTCACAGAATCGTATCTCAGCATTTGAAACTCACATGCGCTTGCTCAAATTCTCTCTTATCATGTGATATGTAACAATGAATAATGACGATACACGCCGTTGGAGAACTGCTTCAGGTATCTTAGGAATGTTTCCCTAGACTAATCTAGCATCCAGCTGTAAGGCTCGAGTTACGAAGAACATAAAGAGACAGATCCATACCTTGCGACGGCCAGAGACGCAAAAGGTTAGGGGACCAGCACAATCTACCCCAGAATAGTTGGATCTGTAGGGTAGTGGTGGCTGTGGTTGTCTGTGAAAAGACGTTCCCTTGAATGTCCTACACAGTCGATCAGTAACTGGTCAGGCTTCTTCCCTTAGGTATGAATACCTTCGTCTGATTCTTTTTAAGTTTTCTTGACTCTATTGACACGCTCGTAAATGTAGGTGTCAGGGACCAAAAGGTTGTAGAATTTGCCAAAAACACTGACAAGATTCCTTTTGATAGGTAGAAACTTCTTGGCAAGTTGGGCCAACTCTGATACATCGAAGAGTAGACGGTCACTGCTGGTGTTCCATGGTACTCCTAGAATTATTTTGTGCTTGCCGAATTCCTTGGTTGGCATAGTCCCAAGCATTACCTTGGCATAATGTCTCGTCTGAGTAGCTCAATTGCGGGGCATCTGACTCCACGTGTTCAATGCCTTCAGCATTGTTGATTCGTTTTTGCAGCTCTCGAGAATTGGTCAGAAACTTCTTGAGGCCGAATCCCACCACCTCTCCGGAACACGAATCAAGCCTCTTCAGAGTCTGCACCTGTGACACTGTCTTAGTACTTTTTTAACAACTTCTTTGTTGTGGAATTTGATGGTTGCATTAAGAACCTTTGATTATTCTGTTAAAAAGCTGAAAACTTTAGAAGAAGGCTTCTCCTTGTGTATGTCATCTACCCAGATCAAGTGTAGGAGGTTACGGGTATTGATTGCAATAATCTTCTCTACGTCAGCTGCTAGGGCAATTCTATATGATCAGAATGGTAGGAAGTTGTGTTGTGTATCTAGACCCATGGTCTCGGAGGCATGTGTGTCAGAAGGGAGTGCATGTGTGGTGGTCATGTTCATCCAACACTTTACTGAGTCCTGTGCAGGGGCTGGACCTGACAATACCCAACCCAATGTAGTGTGAACAGCAGTTTGTCCCTCATCACCCCTGCAAACACTCCAATGACATGTCGACCTGCAGACTAGTAGCCCCATCACCCCTTTCGTTCAATGCATGATGTGATTGGCAGACGAACCAGTTAGGACAACGTTCAGCATCAATGTCATAGGTTAGCAATCCAACTGCATTCCCACACGTACATTTTCCCCAAGGTATTCGTATTCGTCTGACTGCTTAATCTCATCGTCTAATCCATCCTCAGGTGTGTTTTAGATGATCTCTGTATCGAGTCCCATCAATGTGTCTAGCTTCTTCTTGAGAGTCACTTTCAGTAGAGAAAGTCGGTCCACATTCCAAGATGTTTCATCTAGAGCTGCTTTGACCTGTCCAAGAATGCGGCTAGTGGACACCTTCACTTCATGGAATCTCATAAGCATTTTCTTTCAGTGGCTCACCCTGTGTTCCAATGACGGAAATCTTGAAGAGAGGTCCAGGTCTCCTCATCTCCAGAGCTGTGAGGAGGTGCATCCTCTCATTCTCTGCCTCCTCCAGCAAGGTGTGTATCCAGCCATGGTCCCGAGTCATGTGCCGCAGAGACTTCAACTGACGCACCATCACACCTATCATACCTGGAGACATGTAGAGTGTATTGGGTCACATTACAGTAAAGATTTGAAACTGGACCAGATTTTAACTGATTCTTGTGAAAACCTTGACATTTATTCACTAAAATGTCAAGGCTTGTGGACTTTCCTAGGCACACAGACATAATTAGATGGATCTTTCTCACCTGGAACTCCGGCCACTGTCTCAAGATAGATGATTGTTGAGAGCCACTTCTTCTCATCCAGTGTACCAAACCTCTTGCCCCACGAATACCCAGACAATAGATCAAACCCCGTCCTCAACATCTGCACAGAGTAATAGGCACCCTGCAGGAGAGTGCAGGAGAGTGTTTGGAGTAGTTAGTAAGAGTTGTGTGATTGTGTACCATATTATAAACAGGTTTCTTGGAAGGAGTGTGAGTGATCTGGACAGAGTTCATTTCCTCCTCACTCCACACAGGGTGAGGCAGAGTGTATCCATCACCCTCCTGATGGCCAGTGGTCCCGGCAGCAGGTTGACTAGGTTTGCGGAAGTGGTCCAGAGACATTGGGAGGTCGTCCCAATCACTCCTGGGTCGTCCCTGAGCCCCAGTAGTGGCTGGACCTGGAGCACTGCAGTGGAATGACCTCACTCTCAGTCCTCTACTCTGCTCCTCCTGCAAACAACACATGCATAACTGATGTGCACGACCAAATGGTGTGGCATCACTGAGTAAGACTATATCAGGGTCTATGGTCTAACCAGGAGAGGTGACGGATTACTGAAGTGGACTGGTGAGACTGCAGCGTTGATGTACCTCCACGATCTCCTCAACTGCTTCCTTGAGACAGGCAGCAGTCTCCTCACTGCTGAACTTCCACTCATAATTGATTGCAGCCTTACTTTATGGAGTTGAGCGGTGAATTTTATACCAGAGCGACTTCGATCCTCGCTTGCGCACTACGTTAGTTTAGGTTTGGCGAGCGGGAGGCCGGGAGCGACCCAACTTGGGATTTGCCCGCGACGTTCGGTCTGCATAACGTGCCGTCAGCGCACAGCTTTCCTTTCGTGAAGCAAGACTGAGCTACCTGTCGCCGTTACATGCGTGCTGTATGCCAGAATGGTGACGGTACTTACCTTACGCTTTCAGCTCGTCTGTCGTGGTCCACCAGGCAGCTAGCATGGAGGCAGTGATGGCCAACCACGCACCGTGTGTAAGCATAGCTAGCTACACAGACGATTGTTTTTTTTTGCACAGGAAGAAGAAATATAATTATGATTATGTAAAAACAGACGATTGCAAAATTTCATTCCGTTTCGCGTATTTAGAATCATGTGCAGCATGCCTGCCGTGGTGCTGCATGCCCGTCACAAAATGAAAAATCCGAGGCCACTCCAAGTTGCATTCCGGTTTCTGGTCAGGGCCTTTTCAAGTCAAGATGCGGGCGGGCGGGTTTTACTCATTAATTAGTCCACTTAGTAATGAAAGGCACTGAAGTGCTAACCCTCGGTGCAGTGGGCGTGATTAATTTGTATACACATGATAAAATACGTGTAGCTACATACTACTAAGCTGCTACATGTCATCATGGGCTGGCTACATCAGTAGGTTAGCAATGGTAGATCCTTGCTCACCCTGTGCACATTCTGATGTCTGAATGGTGTAGGGGAGGAGCAGGATAATAACATTTTCTTACTAGGCAGACTGTGCCTCAGCAGCTCACCTGCAATGATTTTCTACGCAGCCTTGTCCCATTCAGCTATTGTTTCTGATGGGATGTGATGTTTAGTAACAGTGCTTCCTTCTCCACTAATATATGGATACATATTCCATATACTCCTTATGATGCGGATGACGTTTACACCGTACGCATGTGCGCGGCACTGTTAATTGGTGAGCTGGTCCAATTTTACCGTTTTACTGACTCGTGGTCGCTTACCAGCTCGCTGAGAGTCGGTCACAGGCTTGCTACACTGCTAGATAGCACGCGGAAGTCGATACTCGTCCTGCGTTGCAACTTCTGGTCCAGTGCTGATTTGCAATTAGCTCCTTGACTTTGTTTCACGCCATAACTCTCGAACGCAGCATTTTTACCAAAATCGCTATTTTTAAAATAAAGCCAGTGTGGCACTGAACCCGTTGGTATCGCTTTTTGGCCGTTTTGTTGCGCGTAGCGGGAGAAAACGTGGTAAAGGACAGACGGACAGAAAAGTATAACCCTCTAGCGCATGCGCGCCGAGGGTTAATAGTGGGAAGACTGCCAAAACGCGCGAGACAAGCGCAAAGCCATTAGTACACACAGCACTGTATGCGCAGTAATAATGACCAAAACTCTTGAAATGGGTGCGGGCGGCGGACCAGAAACCGGTATACAACTTGGAGTGGCCAATAGGGTAGCTCGCTCTCGCTCGCCAATCAAAGATGGCTGAGAAGGCGGACCCGACCTCCAGTCTCCTCCGTGGACCGACGGACTCGTCACGAGATCCCGAAGAGGTCTTAGCTCACAGACTTGTGAGTGCACCACCTCGAAAGCCAGCTCCTGAACCTTTAGATATGGTAAAGCGTTATTCTTGTGTTTATATACCTGAGTGAGTTTGTTGGTAGAGTTTGTTAAAATTCGCAGAGAGATCTTAGAACAGTGTTTCTAAGCATTAGCATTTGTTGCTAGCTGACCTGATGATAGCAGTAGAGCAAGAGTTTACAGTACATCACTATAATGTTACAGTAGTGAAGCACCAGCTCTTAGCATGCAGTCACCAGTGGGTTTTTTGACCTCTGTATTGGACTTTTAATAGCAGGACATGTTAGGAGAAGTGATGGGCTCTATTTTCCAATCCGTCATTATAATGGTCACTTTTAGACTCTTAGAGTATGAGTGTGAAGTATAGGAAGGCACAAGACACAGTCAGCTGCACTGGTTGGAGTCTGTCATGTTGGGTTGGGCAAAGCTTTGGTGCTTTTGGAAATATGGAGCTAGATGCATCGCAAGGTCAGAGAGATAAGGCTAGTGGTGGTATAAGGTAATGTCAGGTGATAAGTATCCAAAGAAAATCTTTAGCCAGGAGTTGGACTTACAGCGTCGTTGAGGCAGACAGAGGAAGGTTAGAGTACATCGGAAGGGGGAAGGGTTGGATAAGACTGAGTTCTTGGATAAAATTCAAACGAGGGAGCATTTTTTTTGAAGTTTTTTTGTGATACACTTTATTCTTACTGGACAGTATTGATCAGAGTGAGGGTGAAAGGGAGTTAAATCTTTCACTGTGTGGAGGTATCTGCATAGTTGTAGTGACCCCGGGCAGATGAGGAACTCATGGGTTCAATTAGGAGTGAGATGAAGGGAAGGAAGGAGGAGTGTCTTTTGTGTGATGACTAGTGAGAAATGTTGTGGGTGTGTTCCTGCTTATGGTGTCTTTAGAATCAATTTCATGCCTCATTTTACGTGTATGTGCGAAAATTGAACTACTCACACTTGCTTGCCAGAATGCTTTGTATCAATGTACACACTTTGTCCACAATCATGTATGTTGTTAATAAGTCTGTATATACTGTTGCTAGCATGTTAAGGATCATACCAAGGTTAAGCCAGCAGGTCTAGTTTTAAAAAGCTTGCACACGGGTGGAGCAAGTTCATGGGCGGTGTATGTGTGTGTGTGTTTTTTCAGCGGTGTGGAATGTACCCTGTTGGGGTAGATTAGGGTCATATAAGGGAAGTGCCAGCACTGAAAATGTTGTCAGACTCAGCTCACCAGGTGACCCTGTTGTGTACACTCAAATTCCAGATGCAGCCTTCTCACAGCGCACACAGCTCCACCACATGCTTGTTTGCCACATGCACAGACCCCCACCCTTTGAAGTACCATGGAGTATGCAGATTGTGGTGTTCAGCAGCTGATGTCTTGCCTCATGCCTTCTGATCTCATCATCACTTGAGCCACAGCAACTGCCTATTTGCCCACATCCAGAACACACATACCACCACCACTGTATAATTATAGTGTGTGCTGCTGTGTAACAGTGCTGACAGTGAGAATGACACAAACTCTCTCCAGATGAGGTTTTGCATGCAATCCCATTGCCTCCTCCAGTCAACCTTCTGATTCAGCACTTTCTCAATAGCTGCAGCCTGGGTTTGCTGAGGCTAAGAGTATTCTGCATGTGGTGCACTCCCCGGGACATACTTACAAGTTGGCTCACCTGCACATCAGCTAGAACCTCTTCACCTTGTGCAGCTTGATTACATTATAACTGTAAGCGCGAACAGCTTAGGAATGTTTATTGCGCACAGCCTCTTCTAAACTGCATCTCTCCCTCCCTCCCTCCCTCACTCCCGCTCTTGACTGCTGGAGTGATAGTGTTGCCAACATCCCCATACCGTGGTTCCTGCTGTAGAGGGACTCTCTGTTAGCATACTGTAGACCACCTCCAGTATTGCCTGTGTCTACAGTCCTAGCCACACAGTGGCTGGTGGTGACAGCCTTTGTTTGTGGATGCTGATTTGACAGGGACATTTGGAATGCTGTACCGACTCGCGTTTCTTTACATGGCTATACATAATATACATGTATACACAATGTATAGACATGCACGTGCTTGACCTATAACAACCTCTGTTCTTCCTACCCACCTTCCCCTCCCCTATCCTCTACTCTCTACATCTATGTGTGCCTTCTTCTCTGCTATAACAGTCTGTGTGCTACAATGCAAGGTGTACATGAAGTAATACTCATGGGACATGCAATTACATGTGTGATTTCTTTTTTGGCGAGTTTCTGCTTTAGTGGATGGAGTGTTGCTTGCTGATCAGTGGTGTGCTCCATTTAGCAAACTGTAATTGGCGAGTGAACCAAGGTCACCTACATCTATAAATTGTTTCGGTGCTGTCCATGCTGTGATGCTCTACGTAATCTTAATTACCTGTAAAACGGGTATTTTCATTTGCGTCGTCTCGCCAATAAACCTTTGTAGTTGCACGTGCAGGGAGTGTACTACCTGCTTGTCTGTGTGTCGTCAAGTTGTCATTCATTCCATTTGGTTAGGGCAATATGCAGAAGTCGTTTGTAAGCAAAGTAGGCCGACCTTGTCGAAATTATGCATTTTGCCGTCGTTGGCTAACGCACACATACACGTGATGAAAATCATGTACATAATGTGCAAACGTTGTGTTCTTGCATTTGCTTTGCCCTTGCTCTCTCCTTGTTGGCTGATGAGCTCCTGATGTCATCGTCTCATACTGCCACAAATGGAAGTCTCATTGTGGAGTCATCATGGCATGCTATCCTTTTGAGCAATGGCCGCTGTGTTTGTCTAGTGGATGTGCAGGCATGTGCAAATGTGGGATAATGTACTTACACATGGTCTTTGAGCCGGCTGCTGATTTGTGTGGTAATTTAGTGTTGAATATCAGGGGATGTCCCTTGTCACTTGCTTTCCTTTGTGACATGCCAAAATACTTTGATGTTCTTTGACACAACACGTGTGGGTGACTGGCTGGTCTCTATCGTAGTCTATTACTCAGTCTCTGTGCAGTCTGAACATAAGATATGGAAACACTGACTGAACTGGCAAGACGACCCATTACGACGACCCAGTAGACCCCGCAATGCTGGGTCTTTGAAATAGAAACGTAGTCTATTCCCAGACCGCTGCAGACTGCACAAGACTGAGTAAGACTATATGGAGACCAGTCTTTTTACAATCTCATATGAACACAAATTCATGATACTGACTCTATTTTCTCTACACACACACACACACACTGCAGGTGGTACCATGGGGCCATCACCAGAGCAGAGGCAGAGGCAGTTCTGGCCAGCAAACGAGACTTTAGTTTCCTGGTCAGGAACAGCGAGAGTTGTCGCACAGACTACTCTCTCTCTATCAGGTCAGGCCACCCCCTTCTCCCCTTACTACTCCTCCACCATTGTCATGTGTCTGTGAATACACGCGTGTCGTTTCTTATGTGGAACCCTTCTCATTAAAATGGGACAGAAGAACGAGTCCATAGTGTTAGTGAGGAATCCATGAATTGTTCCTTGAGAATGTGTTATGGTGTCCTGAGAGAGAGGGGTTCCATTGTTCATTACTCAAGGATTGTGGGTGATAGTCTGCGTACAACGCACATGTTAAGGCGATATATCTTGGCCTTGTGGCAATCTTATGTACTCTGTTGCCATCAAAATGTACTTTGCTGTTTCGTCCATTAGCGTGCCTGGCAAGTGTGCGTACCATATTAGGCAGACT